TTTATTGGAAGTTATTATTATTTTTTATTTACTTTTTGTTATCGTTTTAGTTACGAATACGRTGTAAAGTGTGGATGCCTATTTAACAATTAGACCTCGAGGTCGAGTGGACTACGAGCTAATAGCCCATGAGGCCGAGTCCGCGAGGCCGAATGGGCTATTAGCTCGTAGTCCACGAGGCCGAGAGGTCTAATTGTTTTAGTATAAACATACTAATCGGTCAAATAATGAAAACAAATTGAAATATCCTTAACATAATTTATGAATGAGATTGAYTTTCCCGCGAGTGGTCTATCACAAATTAGACAATTAGTAGAGTAGCCAATCACACCGCAGTATGGGTGATTGACCATTAGTATGTTTATACTAAACTATGTTTCGTTTTGACAGTAGGACACTCATGCGACGCAAACCTACTTCAGTCAGGTAGACTATAAGCAAGATGAGAAGCTACTGCATGATTACTTATAGAACACTTAAGAGCAAGAGTCTGTAAAAATCGCCAAGACCTCGGAAATCTTCAAAAAAATCAAATCGCTCAAAATTCCGCAGTTTGTAGCCATCTGAAGTGATTTTCAAAGGCAGCGACCATACCTCTAAACGAGCGAAGTTTTTAAGAAATAHTCRCACCTTTTCTHAWMAAAACCATATTTTCTTTAACTAGATATAATAAAGAACAATTTGAGTGATTTTTATTTCAATCCGTTACAATAAGAATATTTTCAAGATTTTTCAAAATTAGCGACTTTTCGCCTATTTCACACATTCAAATTTTGTGTAAATTTATCGTCAAAAATCCCACACTGGCACATGACTCTGAGGTCTAAAACTATATTCCAGTGAAAGAACATTGTTTCTTGTTGCAAAATGTGAAATAATATTTTTGGGCTATTCAAAGGGTGGAATTGTAGAAGGTCTGTTACACATGACACTTTCACTAAAATATTGCGTGACATTCGAAGGGTCAAGTAATGTAAACACCTATCATAACAACGTAAAGCCGTAAAACTTACCTATAGCACTTTTATATCATCATTATCACAGTCGAGAACATCCATACTGACATCAAAGCTGCATTAACTTGAGTCAAGGGAATTTGGGCTTTTTTTGAGTGAGATTTTTGAAGTGATAAACCAAGAAAGGGATTCCACCGACCTGTCAATCGTTGAACTTGGAGAAGACGACGCTTTCGAATCCAAAAGGCGACTAATAAAATCATCGTTTTAGAACTTCGCTTTTCAGTTTTAGTAAGAGTAGACGCCCCTAGGGCGTGAAGTCGGACTAGCTATTTTTGCTGCGAACGAAGTGAGCAGCGACAGTAATCTCGCAGGCCTCTTGGGGTCCCTGTGCCATACATACATACTGAAGGCGAAAGTCGATTTCGTGGGCTAGCGATAGACACTTCGAGCCTACAGTAAACATTACATAATCATCGGTTATTATCAAATGATGCGCCGTAAACTGCATGGTCTTTCTATTACTTTTCGATCTCTTGCAACGGCAAGTTCGACAAGTATTTATCATGTTAAATGCGACTTTATTTATTCGAGGAAGTATTCATCAAGGTGATAATCGTTTTAGCGACATTTCTAGAGGAAGACAATGTGCTTTTATGAGTCTTTCAGCTTTGTTATCTGCACATTGTGATGATATTTCGACGTGGACGACAAATACGATTCGAAATACGATGGATTGTGTTTTGGCCGAATGAGATCTTTTTAACAGCATTCGAGAAGCGCTCTATGCCTGATGAAGAGACTATTTCTCTGAATTATCTGCCAGGTCGAGTCCTTTGGTCTCCGATGACATAACTTCCATCGCACATTTAGGCAAACCAGCCAAACCAATCGCCCGACGAGGCAAACAAATCAAAACAATCGCCCGACGAGGCAAACAAATCAAAACAATCGCCCGAAAATAAATAAAAAATTAAAAAAATACAGTCTGTAATAAAGTGTACATATACGTTCTAATCTTGTTTCTTTTTGCCATGTATTCTCCCTCCATAAAATCAAATAAACCTAAAACCAATTTGAACAAGCATCACAGAATTTACATATCGCAGCACTTCACTTTA